GGAAACTACAGGCCAATTTACTTATGAATGGAAGGATTTTGGTGAGTATTTTTGTTCGTCGCAATCAGCCGACAATTCAGATATGTCGACCAGCTATCGGGAAAAGCACCAGACGGCCGTTTCGCCCTATTGGGGCTCATCAGTGGTGCGCATCCTTCGGTCCTCTGCGGAGGATCGAACCCATGACTGCTAGTGGCTCTTGCCAACTAGCCCGCAGCTTATGTACCTGTTCATAGCTGCCGTAACCGGGAAGTCCTGACGCCGGAAGGCCGACCATTGTCATCTGCATGGCAGGTGCCTGCATGGCAGTGGAGGATGCGTCGGGCTATATCGCATTTAGCTAACAATTCATGATAGTCAGATACCGTTCTTCATGGCGCAGTTACATAAGCTGCGGGCTAGTTGGCAAGAACCACTAGCAGTCATGGGTTCGATCCTCCGCAGAGGACCGAAGGATGCGCACCACTGATGAGCCCCAATAAGGCGAAACGGCCGTCTGGTGCTTTTCCCGATAGCTGGTCGACATATCTGAATTGTCGGCTGATTGCGACGAACAAAAATACAGGCCAATTTGTTTGGTACCTATTTTGACCAAGGTTTCAGAGAAGATTGTGGAGTGGAGTTTGCTACAGCTTTTCCGGTCAAAAGATCTGACGCCAGCACAGCACTATTTCATGCCAGGTCGTTCGTCCATCACCACTGACCGTGACGCGGCCCGAATGGTTGCATACAAAGAATCAAGCGAAGTCTGTTTATGTAAAGCCTTCGACAAGATTAATCATATTTCCCTTTCCATAAGCTCAGTGTGCGGTGTTGGCAGCTTACTGCTTCCGTGGATCCGCGAGTTTGTCGTTGGACGTCACTGGAGTGTGCAAGATGTTATTCACCTGACCAACTGGTATCCTTCGACCAATGGCGTACCACAATGCAGGATGCTGCCACCTACATTGCTCCTGGTTTATATGAAAGACCTACCCCAGCTCCTGTCGTTGTGATTTGTTTACAGACGACCTGAAGATGTGGTGAGTAATAAGCAATTCGGACAACTGCAGCCTACCTCAGCAAGAATTCAGCCATCTTTCCACGTGATCTACAGAGGTCCACCTGCAAGTCAACCCATCCAATTCGGTATTCAAGAGCCTGGCGTGAAGTGGTGACGGCCGAACCTACTTTTCTGACAACCAATTACAAAATCACACCTTCGGTGAAAGGCCTGAACATACTCTTTGCTTATTTTAAGTTCGTGCACAACACGAACAGGCTACACCTAAGCGAGCTGCGCATGCTATAGTGCTCAAACGCAGCTTCGGCATCTGGTCTGAAGAGGTCACTCGCTTCTTCTCCATCATAAGACCAATGCTAGAGTACGGCTCGCCCGCCTATTAACCAACCAATGAGAGCGAGGCGTAGATCAAATGTATCCAACACGTCGCTACCAAGCTTATCTTTAGGTTGTGGGGCTTACCTTACGAAGACAAGTGCGAGAGGCTAAGACTACACACCCTTATCTATCGTTCGTTTCGAGTTCATCTCATCTTGACCCACCTCATTCTTCACCTAGGTGACATCCTCGTGCTGAGGATGCTGCTGCACTTGCGAACATTGTTCGACACACGCGGACACCAATACAAGTTATTGGTTTCAGATCTAAAGCGATTTCCCCACTCCCTGCGCTTTGAACAACGAGTGGTCACTATTTGGACTACTTTACTGGAGCATGTAGTGGAGTCTGACTCAGTTCACCAGTTCAAAACATTGCTGGATGTGCATTTCTCCAGTGTGCATTTTCTCCAAGTATACTTACCCACTGACATCTCATACTTGCGAGTCCTAACCTGATGTGTCACACGTTTTTTACGGTATCACCTAAGAACTTGAAAAGCGATCACGGAGTTAACAGGTCACAAATGTTTTTCCACCTTTTTGCTCGTATTTCGATGGATTTGTACAGGTAGCAACTTCTGCTTGCTTCCATAATATAGTATTCAGTTGCTTTTTAATGGTATAGTTGCGAGCTGTTTATCATTTACCAATATGACAGAATAGATGATTGTTCTTATATGCTAATTGTTCTTGCACCTGATGTGTCCCGAGTTCGCAGTCCCCATTTTTCGTGTTCACTTATTACATGAATAGACGTAACGCTGAATCCCGTTCTTTATTAGATGGTCTCCAGGTTTGTGGGGACTATCGACTGAATTTGTTCGTGATGTAATCCATTGACTTCTCAGTTCATTCCGTGTCCATTTTACGTGTGAAACGGTGGACTTTCATCCCAAACTCTAGACATTGTCATGTTACGGTATGCTATGTGCAACAGCTGTGACTACATTGAGCCACTCCCAGCATGTTTGCACTTACCTACGTCACTTGGTCCCTGATTTTATCTCATCCACTCAGCAACTGTAAATAACAGTGCTTTTTTATACATAAACGATATTTCTTTTAGGCCTGTTCTTCACTATACCTGTTAGCGATTGCGCCTAAGCTTTCACACGAGAAAGGTTTAAATAATGTGAATATGAAGCGGTCCCCAATTTGAGCATAATGCAGCACTTGCGTTAGTGTATACCAAGTTCTATGACTGGTTGCTTCAGCTTGCTGAAGCCGGATTTTAAAGCTGCGGCTGAAAAGCTTGTTGTTAGCAATGTCTTAGGTCCGTGTTTGATTGAGTAGAGACACGTGAACTACCTGATGTTTCTATAATTTCGTTACACACACCTTTGGTTCATTATCATCTTCGCACATCTTGGTTTATAGACTTCTTTTCGGCCTATGCTTTTATTTGCCCGAAAAGGCCTCGTAATAAGCAGGGTTCTATTACTAAACACTTAGGAACACTTTATGTGCATTTACTGATGAATTACAACTCAAGCATCACAGTGTACCGGACACAGGATTGAAGCTCGAATTTTGTTGGTCCGGAGTCCTACGCCATAACCATCCCTTTAGTAGTGACACTTTTCCAGGCGGCTCAGAACACTTACTCATCCCTGGCAATGGCGGTATTGGTGTTGGTTTATAAAGACCTTATGGACACAAGCGTGTTAAAATAAATTGATTGCCCATTAACATTTTGTCTACGTCGGACGTATAGTCTCCTTTGCCTGGTCAATCAGCATAGGTTTTACTTATTTACCACTCTTAATCGAGTCGAACGCGAATTGTTGTCGATTGCTCCTGCACTTAGACCAATACATCATCATTGTTGGTTCATTAGCTCTGCCACACAAATCTTCAGATACTCAATAAAACCAGTATGTGTTCACGTGGAAGCTACCCAGACGACAGCTGGCCACGGTAAAGCCAAAACTTTGACAAACTGCGCACACACAACGGTGGGTTATGTTGAGACGAGTCGCGATCGCCTCCGTCAACGCAAGAATTCGGCATCTGATAGGTTTGGAAGGGACACCCATCACACATCCCTTATAGATCGATTCGTTTTGACTAGATTTGTGACTATTGCGATGGTGCACATATTGTTCAATCCTTGGCTTGACTACGCTGGGTGAAGCTCGCGGACGCGTTCAGCCAAACGTCTCGTGGTGCGATCTACGTAACTTGTCTCAGAGGAACAGCGTAATTAGTCCAAACGAAAGATGACATCCACAAACAGTTTATGCTTCAGTTGGAAGTGTATCATAGTCGTGAAGTGAAGCTAATGCGTAACTCTTCATCGCCATAGGCGTTAATGACGCCGCTCTTAATCGTTTGCCAATGTGTTCGGAGCTGTTATCCTCCCTAAAACACTGCGATAATTATTCAGACTTCTTTCCTGCTGTTGATGCTTTGACGACCACACAGTCAGTTCGCATATTCCTGTCAATGAGCGCCTCGGGATAGTCTTTAGTAAATAAAACTCCATATCACGAATCGATTTGTTGTGTTCTCGGAGCATATTTTCGTTACTCTTCCCATAAAACACCGGGCTAGATCCTACTTTTATCGGATTAATGCAGCTACCAATATAAATAAATTATCCCAACCATTTCGCTCTCCTATGGATTCCGTGCTGCAGCGAACCATTTGGTCGACGAGACATTTGAACATCCTGAAATATAGGACTCATTTGACTCAGGTTGCATGCAAACCGGAATGTTTCCGATCCCCGGAGCCATCAGTTATGCACATCACGTCATCAACCTAGCATTTATAGAGAGACATCCGTCCATATCAGTCCACTTAGCGGAACTTTCTCTAGTTTGGCCATAAATACATAAGCGAACGACGGAGCCAATAGTGACCTCATGGCTAACTCATTTGTATCAGCATAACTGTCCGGAAATCGCACATAAGACGATGTGGGTAAACTGATGAAGCAGCCTCTTCATCTCTTCCGCCGTTAACTCAGTTACTTTACCTGTATGCTCGGTGTATTGGCAGGTTCTCGATGGTTTCTAACGGGAATATTAGTAATGTCACCTTGAGTGAAAGTAGCTTCTTGTTATCCCAATTTCGAGCTCTAACCCTGTCGACGAACTCGAATGTGTCACGCAAGTTGTGAGTCGCTGGCTCTCTCCTTGGTTCTTCCAGTAGTTCCTCCGACATGTCAATAGATTTATCAGCCATTTTGTTTTTATCATGTAAAAGATTTAACTGTAGCCTTTTCAATTGTCTAGGTTTTGTTTTTCTCACTGAAAGTCCTCATTTTCTAGTTATTCAATCAACCCTTTCTTATTTTATCTATAAAATTTATTACACGGTTTGATGATGAATCGCCGGAAGTTAGTATGTTGCTGTCGACAATGACATTTATGCATTGAAGCAGCCAGTATTAATGGCGATATTTGATTTTAACTACATTTATTTTTCTATCTTGTGAAGTGATCCGGTAGAACATTTACCTTGCCTCAAGTGTTTACAACCAACAACTAGATGTTGCCACGTATTCGAATGAACGAGTCTCTGATTCTTTAAATCTACGTTTTTCCTTAAAGTCACATTCTCTGTTTAATAATGCTACTCCCCTGTTGTAAGACTTCTGTTCTATTCTTTAGATGTTCGCCTTTTGGTCCTTCGTACCGTTGCAATCCTCGTCAACGAATCGCCCAGCGATATCGCCGATGACTTATTCGAGCTAATCAAAGAACGATCACGCGACAAAGATTTCTCTATTCGGAAGGAAGCTGCTACTGCGCTCGCTAGCGTTTATAAACATTCTATAAAAGAAGAGCCGCTCCCATACGACCGATGTGCTACTGCGCTCAACGCCATCATGCACATGTATTATAATCCTTCACTAGATGATAGGTGAGGCCTAACCGTGGTTAGTCTTGTTTTGCCGTTTTACTACTGGTTTCATCTTTACTACCCGCTGTTAGCTGTGTATGTATGTTTGCTTACGGGAGGCCGTCAGGAGTGACTTATGTCAGTGCTCGTCTATATTCGTTATTGATTTCTTAAAAGAAACTATTATATGCCTATCTCGACGCCCCATAAAAGCTTGGATTTCTACTCCCTCTGGAGCTGTTCGACCGCCGTAAAGATATCCCCACAGAATCAAATTGCAACGAGCAGCGCCGTTCTGCCAACTGACTTCTCAAGCAAAGCCTACTCAAGAACCGCGAGGCTTGGTGGTCTGAGCGTGCTTTAGAGATGGAGACCGCTGCACTCTCTAGCAACGCTGGCAGGCTTTTCCAGCTCATTCGGTCCACTGCCCTCAGGCAGGTTGGTGTCAGTGATTTGATTTTCGAAATGGATGGGTCTCCGATCACCAACCAACAGGCGTTTGGACCATTAGGCCGAGTATTTTCATTCGTAATTTAACTGGCCTCCACCGTCCATCACTGTATGTGGTACACTTTGTTGTCCCCTCTGGCTCGTTTTACTGTATCCACGAAGCGAAGTGGAAATTTACTTCTCGATTCGACGCCTGAAGCGACTCAAGGATGCCGGCTCGACCGGACTTTCTTCGGAGCTGTTCAGGTACGGCGACATGTCAGTGATTAACCAGCTGACCTCGTTTTTCACAAAAAACCGACATGAAGAAAGAGTGTCTTTCTTTTGGGGTGAATCCCTTATTGTCCCGATTTTCAAGAAAGGCGCTCGCATTTCGTGTCAACCTTCACGGGATTAGTCTTATTTCGGTCGCTTCCAAGCTTTGGGTATCCATTCTGCTTCGCAGACTATCCCTAGTACGTGAATCATACTACCAGGAAGAACAACCTAGTTTACGTCCCGGCCGTGGATGCTTGGATCAAATCTTCACGCTCCGCCAGTTCCTCGAACATGACCACATTTACCACAGGACCACTGTTGTCGTATTCTTAGACATACGGACTGCAGTTGACTCGGACCTGCTTTCTGGCGGTGCTTGCTGAAGAACTGGGTGCCAGAGAGATATACCGCCATCTTACGTGCACTTTACCTTCATGCCTCCGGCAAAGCGATGGTCTACGGCAAGCTTTCATCATCACTCGCCGTCAATAGCGGTATGCGACAGGGCTGCCCTATATCCCCATTCTTCTTCAAGTTCGCAATGGAGAACGTCCTGTCGAAAGCTCTGGAAGATTTCCAAATTTTCTGCTTAGTACTTCCGCGAGGTGAGTGCGCGACCGAATTAGATAATACTGATGATATCGCCTTATTTAGTGACGATCCACAGGGTATGCAACTCATTTTGGGTCCTTTGGCGGTCGAGGCATCTAAGTATGGCATGGGCTTTGCCCCATCGAAGTATAAAGTGTTGCTCTAGGATTGACCCACACCTGCCCCTGTGTTCATTCCTAAAAGTGCACAACTTGAACAGGTAGGTAATTTCGTCCACCTTGAGAGCTGTGTTTCTGCTGGAGACAGTATCAGCAAGGAAGTTACCCTTCGCATCCTTAAAGCGCGATCAGCATTTGTCAATCTGAGGCACTTGTGACGTTGTCGCGATGCCTCATTCTCTCTAAAGAGTCGTGTTTCCAATGTATCTGTACGTTCAATATTGTTGTATGGGAGCGAGTCCTGGCCAATTCGCGTGGAAGACATGCGTCGTCTTTCTGCCTTCGACAATGCTTGTTTAAGGAGGATTGCTCGTATGTGGTGGCAACATCGAGTTCACAGTGAGAACGTTTGACATCGCGTCTTGGGTATGCACCGATCCCCTTCAACTAACTGGTTTTGCTGCCACAGTTGTGATGGCTTGGTTATGTCCTACGCATGGCGCCTGAGCATTTGCGCCGCTTCGCTCTATTCGCTCGTGCTTGTCAGCCTTCCATTTGACGACAACACGTAAAATCGCTGACATCACGTCTAGCCGCCGTTGAACCCGTGCGTCTTCCAGGATAGAGACTCACGGAGGAGGAGTACCAATGGCTTAACACGCTTGAAGGCATGGCCTGCAACCAGAATCAGTGGAAGAATTGGGTACAGCATTGTATTAATTAACATGTTTAATACTTTAAACATTGCAACTGCAAAAGAGAAATGTCGGTGGATGAAAAACAAACTAAGTATTTCATTCCATTTTTTGTCGAATTGTACGTTCCTTTGATCTTTGCACATACTTGCTTAGCTTCAGAGGGTTATTTCCTAACAGTTAAAAAGCTTAAAAAATATGCCGCGTGAAAAATAAAACATGTGCTTTTCTTCCTATGGCACAATAGCTGAAGTGTGTTGCTCATCTTCAGCTACTGTGGCACGATGATTACGGTCTGGCGATTCCACTTCTTTTTCGCTACCCTCCATGGTTTTTGTTCGCTTAGTTTATTTACTAGACTGTTACTACTACTACTACTACTACTACTACTACCACCTCCACCATTGCGGCCAAACAAACAGTCCCCTGTTCTCCGGGTTGGGGGTAAGATTAATGATAACTTACTTATGAAAACGGACTCTGTGTAGGCCACTTCCAAGCTCCCGCTACCTTGCGGTCAGATTTTTAAACCAAATGGTTTAGTGGAGAACTTTAATTGATCTGTCTAGACCTATGCCCATACAACGCATTGACAGACCCATCATACAGTTTCTAGCTTTTCTAGACTCCGCAAAACACAATCAGCGGCTACCAATCTGCTACATTGAACAGGGATGCCGCTATTCATGTCTACCTGTTTTCTTAATTCTTTTTTGCGCTTTTTCATCCTTTTCATCTCTTTCATACTTCACTTTCACCACTTATCTTTTCAACCTACCGACATTTGACCTGCTCCACCTTGCTTCGAGTAGCATTTGTCCTCTAGCTGTGACTCACAAACAGTCGCTAAGTCTTTGCTAAACCAAATGGATAACCTCAGTTCTTCCGCTTCCATTTGCAGCGCTCAATCCTAGCTAAGACTGGCATACCTCTGCGTGCGCACTTTATTATACATCGGCCATCAGGCAATACTTGCCTAAACATGATCCTATCAACCGATATCTGCTACTCATCGGAAGCCAGCCTGCAGGACTCCAGCTCTGTGCTCACCCTGTGATCCACTTTATGTGACACTGGCGGTACTTTCTCATTGCGTCTATCCAGAGATAGTGCAGCTCCAAACACTAGTCAGACCAGTGTGTGCATTGCTCTGAGCCCTCTGGCTAAAGCTGCTCTGATCGACTAGATCCCCACCAGTAGCTGGATATGTGCCTTCCAACTAGCTGGTTCTTTCAAACCTACGAAATCGTGCGGGAACCATAGTTACCCATCTGTCTTTGCTGTCTAATAATAATAAGCTAAGCTATCGACACAGTAAGCAGCCGAACAAGGAAAGATCTTTAAGATGCTGGCATCATCTATCGCCAGACAGCTAATCAAAACAGGCCATCAGGTTGACCCTGGGTCAGCATTTACGGTTATCTATCGAAATGAAAGCCCCATAGTTTTGAGGTTTGCTGAAGCTGTGGCGTTTAATCGGCATCGCCCTATTTTTGTGTACAGAAACAATTAACAGTCTCTCTAAAGCTTCCTTGGGGCTCATGACCCTAAGGTGAGGCTCGTTGATCTGTTATTCTTGCGTCTACGTATTTTCCCTTTGTGACCAGCTTCAAACCTTCGATTTTTTCCGTCACGTCATTCATATTTATGTTAGTTTGCGAGTGATCAGATAACACGAAATGGTTCCATGTCGCAATGCCAGTTTTCTCGTTGTCTTATTTAAACACTAATGTGTCACCTGTAAGCCGTTACGAGGCTTCGCTGCCGTGCGACCACCACCAGTCGCACGCGGGCTGTATACCTCGAGGCGTCCACCCGTACGCGGATTCGAACCCGCACCGCGAGATTACGAGACAAGCTCGTTACCGCTCACTCGGTGAAAGATGACTTCTGCAGGCACAGAACAAGTGCGAATGTCTTAAAGTGTAGCAAGTTGATTTGAACACTCAGGTTGAAACTTGTCCACTGAGGAGCTGCCTCCAAGCGACTAATACGGTGTAGGCTCCCATAATCAGATCAGTGGACGCTTGCCATATTTGTATGAACATGCTCGTCTTTTACTCGCGAGCACTACCGACACTAGGTGACAGCACCCATCAGCCTCAGACCAGCCATTGTGCGCAAATCGGTCACATCGCGATAAGTTACTGCCGCACCCGAAGTTGCCGCTCGATTCGGAGCTCAAGTGTAGACTCCAATCATGCACTTGTATGTGTTCATCTGCGAGTTCGTTTCGGCGGAAAGTCGCGACGGCGTGAGGGCTTGGCAACAAGTGACGTTAGATGTTTCGAATGCATGTCAAAGTATACCGGCAACCGATACTTCTTGACATGTCAAGGCACCGACCTCAGTGGTATTTATGTTCTTTCCTTTGTCCTTTCTTACCCCTTTAGCTTCTTGCAACCACCTTTTTTGTACTCAAGAGCATAAATTACTTGTTTCGATTATGAATCAACTTTACCTAGATACTCTTGCTTAGTGTCACCGATGCATGATTCATTCGTGCGCCTACACGTTGCTCTCAGAGATCCACTTTATTTTCTGAAAATACAGTCCAACCTGCTATGGCGACCACTTGCCTAAGGCGAACATCTGCCTATGGCGACTAGTCAAAAACATCCTCAACGTTTTCTTTTATGAGTAATGTCCCTATACATGAACCTGTCCAAGGCGACCACATTTTGTGGGTCTCTTGAGTGGTCGCCCTAGACAAGTTTGACTGTATTATTTTGGTGAGATTAAACTAGAGACAGAGAAGTCAGGACATAAGCAAGCGTGAAACAATTCAATTTGTGTGCCTAATTGTGCTTCAGTGTTACACCTTGTAATTTTATCGCTTAAAATCAACACAAGAGAACAGCATATCGTTGAGGGTTTGGCAAATGTTTTTCGCTTCGTATGAGCGCGAGCACATCAGGACAGATATGAGGGAAGAGAGAAAAGACGTCAAGGGTACCACGGTATTTCGTACCTGTGCTTCTTTTTGCAAGCCAGACGATTAGAAACACTGGGCCACTGATTGGTGCACACCATATGGGTTAGCATTGGAACCGATGGAGGGGTCTGCGACATTGTCCTTTCCTTCTTTTTCATCGGTTTTGCAACAGTTGCTATCTTTCGTGTTCCTTTCCCTTTATCGACTGACCTTCCTAACCAGCCCCTCTTATCTTTCGTTTTTTTTTCAGAATTATTGTCGAACGGCTATTCAAAAGTTCACTGGTTCCCTATCACTCGAACACGAACGATCGCGTCCGCGCGTTATTCACCTTTTACAATATCGTGGATGAAGCATCTGTGAAAGCAACGCAGGAATTGTTTAAGGCACAGTTTACGTAAGTTGACTTTCACCATTCCACATCTTTACATATCGCAATCATGTGCTTCCTGAATTGCTCCTTTTCTTGACTCATGTATCCGTTGTATGCTTGCTGATTTTGAGTACCCTTAAACCACACTCCTTTTGGCTTCAGAACCTGCCTCTTGCTTAGTCCATTTCGTATGACACCCTCTGGTTACATGGACTCGACTGCCTCAAGTGTTTCTCAGCTCCTCAATTACGTCAGCTAACCACGATTTTACTGCACTCTCCAATGTGCGGCACGCTACGGCTACTGTCGGTGGCACGATTATACGATGTAGAACAAGCCTACATTTGTATTCTATACTGCTTGATGTTACTTGGGATACTTTCGTTTTTGCTTCTGTTCTTGCTTCCACTACTACTCTCTGAACATCATGGGACCTCACTTAATTGAGTGAAATATCAATAAACACTGCACCAAAATAAATTGTTATGAGGTATGTGAAAGACATAGCCCAGATGATGTAAGCGATTCAACTTTAGCGGACTCCATTGTGGCACTAGTGAGCTTGGCTAAATACCCTAAGGTAGTAGTGATAAGCATTAATCACTCAGTGTTCTTACTAGATATGGTCGTTATTTCTCAGGCACCTTTTGTATCGAACCTCCATGTTTAGGCTGCATTCTCGCTTGATTTTTGGTCTATCACATTTCTCAACTTGAACTTTCTCGCACTGTTGACTTTGGACCGTAAAATTACCATCCCATTCATCCGTGGAATGAGAATGGATGTCCATCACTCTTCTTGTTTATACTTAACAGCGCCGTGTTTTTTTTACGTCACCACTGCTCCACGCTTTTGTCTTCGTTTTATTTCAAATCTCAGCAACCTGATATGTTTTTCTCGCCCCTTTAATGCTTGGCAGTGGGTCACCAATACACTGTCATCCATCTTATTATTTCTACTTTACACTATCAATAATGAATGCTATTACCTTTGCTGCTGTTTCCCTTCACTCCCGAACAATTTTACTTAAACCGTTATGGCTCCTCTTTTATGCGCACTTGCACAACCTGTTATTCATGGTATTCACATCGCCTACACACGTCTTCTCACCTCTCTCCGCCTTTTCCACCTCATTTGTTCTTTGTGTTCTATGCGCACTAACGGATACATTCTCACACAGATACTGTGATTTCCTGTCATCTCGAGACCTAGTTTTCACCTAATTTACCTGGCTGCTTACCCCTAACGGCCATCAGGTAGTCACTTTGTCCCTCGCTAACACCGCGTTCGTTTGTCCCTTCTTCTGTCTTTCATTAGAGCCATCAGTCTTCTACGCGACGTTGTGCATCTTTTGGCTATCCACGAGGGGCAAACGATACCACCGGATGTTGAATCTGAACTTATTGATAGGTTGCAACACCTGGCGGGTGAGTCCATTTCGACTTCACCTTATTGTTTTTTCTACACCTTTTTTTCGCTCGCACATCAGGCTGCCGTAACCAATTTGATGAGTCGCTGCCTATCTTTTTCATACTGCAGTTTGCGCCACTTCGGAACTCTAAGAGCTGCGGTTCGCTTCTGCAAGCAACAGTTCTACCTTTAAACTGTGGTTTGCTACTTCCACGCGGCCATTTCCTTTATGCTTAGATCTACACGTTTTTTCCTTATTCCCGCCTGGTCTCCGCCGTTGTCTTTGAGTTGAACCTTATAACATGCGTTTCTACTTTGCGTCCGTTGAGGACAAGTCGACATTGCCGAGGCTTGTGCTGTAAACGCACTAAGCTATTATTCCAGGAACTTCACTTTTTCACTTATGCTCGGCATTCTCTACCTCCTTACCTGATTGGTATTGAAGCATCTGTTAGCAACTGGTCGTCAAGCTAGGCACTTTTGTTTTAAACCTTTCGTCACTTATCATGGTGACCTCACTAGTGCGTCACCATGCAGCGTAACGGATTGATGCGTCGGGTGGTCATGCATGTGAGCTTTTGCAGCGGGTCGCTCACCAACAGTACTTTAAATGGTGAGTGGTACATATATGGAACAACTTGCCGCCGCACGTAATCGAAGCAAAATCGGTGTCTGAATTCACAAATTTCTTGATAAACACTTTGATAATATGAAATATCGGGATTGCTAACAGAATTGGTCAGTATACTTGAGGGATTTTATATACAGCTATACCTAAATATCTCTTCTTGCTGCTTCCATCTAATTATCTAGTTAACACTGTATGTTCTATACATTATAGCTGCATTTAAAATCCGCTCATTAGTATGGAACCATTGCGGCGCGTGGGAATTGCGAAGGGTATAAAAATATGCCTATGCCATGCATTGTGTAACAGCGGGTATCTGAAAACCTTATCAGCAAAGCTCTGAAGATGCGAACACTACGACAACAGCAAAATCAGACAGATAAACGAACAGTGCTTCCATACAATAGAAATGCTTTTTAACTAACAGCACGATTTCTGCCACAGTACAGAATCATGATAACGCGCAAGCCAAATTGCACTCTGAGATGATTGATCTTAGGAACGAAGGATCAAGGCCAACAAGGTAATCCGACCAATGCCATCTACCGAAAGTGGCAAGTACTACATCGGGCAAACATGGGGATACTCCACGCAAGTCGCAGAACACAGGGGAAAACACGATCCGTATTTTCTGGTTTCTATACATGATGATCAAGGTCAGCGCTCCATTCTAAACAGCGTGAAGATTCTAGTGCATGGAAGTACGAAGCAAGCGCTGCTGGCGTAGCTCAATAATCTGATGTGTAGGCGTCAACTAATGTGCGCCGGGTTTCATTGCCAGTCCAGACAATCAACCTGAAGAGTCAGGACAAAGAGGAAATCGGCCGTGCACTGCAGTGTCGGGGGAGAACAACACCGAAACTCTCCAAGCAATAAAATCCGTGGACACACAGTATTGCACAATCAATTCCATCAATAGACATCTCGAAGTGGATGCACTATATGCAACACCACAAGTAGAGGATCCTCAGTTCATTCAGTTGACCTTAACAAAAGTGGATATTGGGCAACTGTTTCAGCCGCGGATATCGGGTCACGGATCGAAAGGGTCATTTTCGGAGGTCACCTTCCCGTCAGTTACGCAATAGCGACCTAACCAGTGGGATTGCTCGATAACAACGGAGGTGATGCTTGAAATGTTCATAACCTCATAGGTCACCGAGCAGCTGGGAGCTGACTGTAAATCCCGCCTTCAGTTCCCGAACCAAAAAACGGTGTCCTACTTTGCACAATTTTGCAACACACTACGCAATCACAGCAGCCAAGAATAGCCTGCGGTAGATTGATATCACCAGCGTATGCGCTCAGCCATTCAAATAGGGAAAACCGATTGCTTGAAACACTGCGGTTTCTTGCATGATTTATTAGTTCTCGTTAATAACCTAAATACCATCAGTTTATAACACAATTCACTCGTAAAATTTGTCCAATATTTCAACTATGTTAACTTTTAATTGCAAACTCTTTTAAGGAGCCGGATATATCCTGTTATTAGTTTATCGTTTCACGTTAAACGTAAACTAACAGGATCAGCTTTATAGATTGCAAGGGGATCGCTACGATGCAAACCCAGTCTTCGGTGCGTTTTTGCTACTATTCTAATCATCTATACCATTTCAGAGTCATGTTAGGCTATAACGAAATCCTTTTAGGCCGTAACAACTTCGAATTGCGCCGTTAGCATGTTCACGTTGATCCACTCCACACGTCAGCCATTGTTCTAGCGCGCACTGTAGCATAGCTGCCTCATTGGTCAGCCACCGTCCGCCAATAGGATGTCGGGTGTTAATACAGAAATACGGGGTGTTTTATTAATTACGTCCGAAACTCAAAGCGACTGTGCTCACGTGCTGACGTACCCCGGCACGCTGAATTGCCAACTGTCCAGTGGCGCAAATTGTTTTGTCGAACATGTCGGCAGGGGTGAGATGGGCCACAGAGACGGGACCTGTGTGCCCACGATCGCAGGGCACACCAAGGGAACGGAGGACGCTCGGCTGTGAGAAGTGAGTTTTAGCCAAACACCGAAGCCGCGCTGGACGTGTTATGCCTCGGTCGATTGGTAGTGGGCTTTCACTCAGGTGACAAAACCGACAAAAGGGATCCATGTGGAACGGCTAGTGGCTCGCTGTTCTTGCAGTTGAGAACAGCCTGGCCCCAAGCAATGACCGATGGGCGCAGGTTGCTCTCGCAATACATGGCAAAAGACAATAGCAAACAAAGCTTTTATAGCCTCCTGATTGGCTTCTAGCAAAGCCGGAGGCTTTCATTACGCTGCTTTCGTTGATCAGGGGAATCACACTGCCAGGAGCGCTTTTTAAAGTTACAGTCTTGTTCGCTTTCCCGTTTCGACCATGTGTTACAGCTGAAAGTTCACCCTTCATGGGTGAACCTGACTTTACAATTTTCTTAGATTTCAGCCTGCCTTGACGCACTAGTGGCACCATTAGACAGCACCAATTTAGTCATGAATGTAACTATTGCCCTCACAATCAGACAATTGCTTGTTGTACAAATTATCATGCCTTCGATGGTGCTTCTCGTGTGCAATCGAGAACATACATTTATTCATTTCTTTACTTATATTTGCATGCAATGTTTGAGATGTCTGTAAATATCAACGAATTAAGTGTTCGAAGTGCCCTCCGTCGTTTTGGCTGCAGAGCAGCATTCATCGGATAGTGTTAGCGAGCACTTTCTGCAATGTCTCCAACGAAATCCGGCTACATTCGTTCACAACGTTCTCTTTAAGTTCATCCAGGCTGTTTGCTTTTGTTCTATAAACTCTACGCTTCAAGTATCCTCATAGGAAAAAATCCATGGGATTCAGATCCGGTGACCGCGTAGGCTACTCTATCAGTCCTCAGCGACCGATCCAACGTCCATCGAAAGGCTCATTCATGTAGGCGCGAACCGGTTTCGCCGACTGTGCAGGTGTGCCATCCTGCTGCTACCAAACGTTAATTGATAACTCTTCCTACTGTAATTGCGGTATGACGCTGGTCTGCAGCATTTCCATGTATGAGGATGCTAGGAAATGTCAGACATTGGTACTGTTAAACAACAACCTACCGGACACACTCCAGGAAAAGAAAAAGAGCCCAATGATTTTTCGACCAGTCAACTCAGCGCAGGCCATGAGCTTCGCGCTATGTTGCACACCTGAAGCGCTTAATTGCCGTAGGTTAGTTGTTGCTCAAGTATGTTGCGTATCTTCGCCATGCAGACGGAAAACCGCCTCATCAGTGAACACAATGAAATCTGCGTTCAGTCTGTTGAAAAACCAACGGGCGAATCGCAGGCGCTTCTGTGAATCGGATGTGTTCAACACTTGCACCTGCAGTGCACCATACCGTCGGAATTATTTCCCTTAAATATCCGATACACAACCTACGGTGCGGTTTCGCAGTGCTTTGCAACTTGCCGAATGGTGAGATGGCTCTTACTGCATATCACTTGCACAACCGCGCAAGCTGATACTTCATCCGTGACGCTGCGAAGCCGTCCGGTTTGTTCGATGTTGCAAACGCTACCAGTTTCTACAAATTTCTTCACCACTCGACGCATATACCGCTCTTTACTGGGCCGCGCAACGCAGTACATAGTGTTATAGCGCCTTGCGTTTGCTGCTGCGTTGGACACACACTCACCATACAACTGCACAGTGACCACGCGTTGATGGACCGACACATTACGTGACTGCGGTTGCGGATACATCGACGACACGGGTGTAAGCTCCTGCTCCATTGCTAAAACAGCGAGCAACTAACCACCTCACAGGGATCAGTTTTGCTGACTTTTTAACCTGTCTGAGAGCCGACTACCAATCGATCGT